CTTAAGAACAGAAAGTTGGATGAACCATCAAGATCTGCAACTGAATTTTGCAGATCCTTGATATGTAACCCAAGGGCTGGTAACAGGAATCACTTGCATGTACCATATTTACTTAACAATCAGCCTGACCTATCAGCAGGGACAAGAGGCTCTGTAGTGCCATGTTTGTTTATTTCTGTGAGACCTGCCAAGGTTCCCTGTATATAATGAGCAGTGTTCTGAAAGCTTAAGTTAAATGGGAGTCTTTCCTAATAAAGGACTTTGATCTATATTATTTACTGTTCAGATTTCTAGGCTTTGCGTTTAGCACTTCCAGCTTTTATTGCCTCTTGTAATGAGTACGCAGACCTATACTTTGCAGTGTGTTTCATCTTTACTAGTAATAGCAGTAGCAGCAATAATAATAATCATCATCTTGGAATATGAGGCAAGGTTTTAATGGGAGATGAAATATCCTCTTTAATATAAAATATCCTTTTATGGGGAAGATAGTATCTTTTATTATTGAATTACTAGTTGGAAGAAACTAAGTTTCTTGTATGCAGGCTTTTAAACCACTTAAATACATAAACAATTTTGGAGGAGTTCTGTAAACTTGGGATAAAAGAAAATCTAACTGTGGAGTAAAATGAAAAAATAATGAGTCCTTTTTTGGGAGCAAGAACTTCTATTTTTGTTACTGTGTCTCATACAAGATACAAAATTAACTCTCAATTCAGGTGTATATACATGTATATTGTCAGGTAATCATTCTCTTTTCTAGGTTATGCTCTGTGGTATGCAAGAAGTTGATTTAGCAGACTGGCAGAGGAACACTGTCTATCGTCATTATACAAGGAATAGCAAGCAGATTATATGGTTCTGGCAGGTATGTTGATCAGTAAAATTTCTGATTTCTTTAGATTTTGTTTTGTTTGTAACACAAATGACATGTGGAGTAGAGGGATGCCATCTGAATGAAGGTTCTCACTGCTTCCTTTCTTTTTTCTTTTCAAGAGAAGGAAAAGAGGATTACTGGTTCTTAGGGAGCATACCTGAGTGTGGCAAGTGGCAGATAGATACCCGCATTACATCTGGATGCCTGACTCATGAATACTTTTTCTATATCTTGTTTTTCTTATTGATTATCCAGTGATAGAGTTTTTTGTATTCTTAGCAGTGATCTACCTTCTAAATGTTCTTATACGTAGTACATCTGCAGTGCCACATATTATAAATGATTATTGTCATATTAACTGTGTCAGTCAAGCACTGACTGATAATAACTCATTTTAATGAAGTTGGCTAAGAATTATTTTCAGGAAAAAAACTCCTACTGGCTCCCAGTTTCTGTGAATCTCCATGAAGAGAAGTCATAGCTAGGCAGTTTCTGTCTTGTGATAAATCACCATTGTAGAGATGCTTTTGACAAAGTTCCTATAAGAAAATGATGCAAATCAATTATTTTCTATCTTATTTATATTGTCAGAATAATGTAAGGACTGATGATATGGTCTCTTTTTAAGAAACTTGTTACTGAAAGAATCTTATCCAGAAGTTCAAGTAACTTGCTTATGATTTCAGCATTTATAGAACAAAAATATTCATTTTGTTATCCAGGTTTTTCTGAGTCAAAATTATAGTTGTATCAATGCCCACTCTCTTACAGAGATGTTCTCCATCTCTACTCTCTCTTCTTCCTCTTCCCTTATCCAGTGAATTTCCTTACAAAGTGATGCAGCTGCTGTGGATGGTGTTTTCTGTCACTGAGACTTCCACATGCCAGGAATGCTTCAGTCTTGACCAGAGCTTGTGGCTAGGCTATGGCTGTGTTTAATCAACATGGTGATAGTCTTCATCAAGCATTGGCTTGATTTATGTGTTAATGTAGGATAAAGATTACTATTTGCTGTTCCCAGCCTTCACATTTTAACAGTCAACAGTGCATATAATTTGATATCACTGTCTTCTTCCTTGACACAATTTTCCTGAAATCAAGAAAGGTAGACTGTTGTCAAGGTGGTGTCTTTTCAAATGGAATTAGATGACTTTCACAATCTTGTGGGGTTTTTGTTTTTCTCCAGCTATGTTAAAGATTTTTATTAAGTAATTTGAATTTCTGTGCCTAGTTTGTAAAAGAAACAGACAACGAGGTTCGCATGCGACTTCTACAGTTTGTCACTGGCACTTGCAGATTACCACTGGGTGGATTTGCTGAACTTATGGGTAAGTAAAAGGTCACCAAAACTTTTATACAGGTAACTGTTCCTTTTGCAACTGCACCGTGCTGCAAGTGTAGAGACAGAAGGAATTTCATGTACATCAGCTTGGATCTAGAAGGGCTTTTTATATCAGAAATCCCATAAATACATTTATAAATTATTAGGAAATTAGCTCATTTCTATGAGAATGTTCCTATACATGTAACATTAAGTAGCACCTGATGAGCTCTGTTTGCCATATCTGAGTTGTGTCTTATGTCACTTATATTTTACGTGTGCTACTTTAAAGGAACAGATTACACTTTTTAAATCTTATTTTCTAGGAAGTAATGGTCCTCAGAAATTCTGCATTGAAAAAGTTGGTAAGGAAACCTGGTTACCAAGAAGTCACACTTGGTGAGTTGTTACTTGTAAACTTTCTGTACCTTTAGAGGTTCTCTCTTCTGACCTTGCATTGACCAAATCGAATGAAATCTAATTTGAATCAGTTCTCTATCTCCATCTTCACCTTCTTTAATTGATCTGACATGCCAGTATTGAACATTTCTAGTTGCCCTGTTCTTAAACTTTGCTGCTGTACTGTACAGCTCGTCAGTATCAGATCTGTCAGAAGTGTGATACCGTCCTTATTGCATAAACTGAGAGCTGGTTACACAATTATTTTAGAGAGTATTAACTGAACAAAAGTCATGTTGGTATTAAGGTATATAGAGTTATTAGATATACTTACTATCCAGGAACATTATAAATGTATAGTCATGAGAAAAAGTAGCATGGAAGAAATCACAGCAAACATTCAAAACAAGGATGCTTACCCAATAATGTGGATACTTTTTCCTGCCAGGCTTCAGACTATTTTTGGCTTGGCATTCCTATGCCAAACCGGTGCAACAGGTACAGAGATGAGTTTCCTGTATATACTGTGTGCAAAGTGGACACACCTTCCTTTGGCAATAGCGTGACAATAATATTCATCATTACTTTTAAACGACTTCAGGGAATCCTTACCATTTTCTCCACCGGTGCTGTTTTTTCAAGTGATGATTACAAGAGTTAAACATCCCCCTTTGTCTAAGATACTTTTAGAGAAGACACAGAACGAAACAAAATTTTGGCAGAAGCCTTTTAGGGCAAAGTTTAGTGGGAAATAAATCGAGGCCTGTATAGGAAGGAGAAAAATCAAGCTTTTTCATGCTGTTTCTGGAATTTGGAGGTGCATCAAATCAGGATGATTTTAAACTTCATGGTGAACATTTCCTTTTCTGTGTAATTCTCTGTATCTTGGGCTGTCTTCAGTCTTTAAAGGTTCTGTTCTTCCTTTGATATGGTAACAGCTTCCTGTTTCTTTAAGTATTCCTCTCAAACGGTCTGGTTTTACTGCTCATAGAAATGTCAAGGAAGTGAGATTGCAGTGATTGCTATTTCATTTCTTATTGTTAGATCAGAACTTTTTAAACTTCTACTGTAGCAGTCGAGTTCTGTAGTGTTCTACATGGGATTTAGATAAACTTAACAAAATTTTGTTTTCTTCTGCTCAGTTTTAATCGTTTGGATTTGCCACCGTATAAAAGCTATGAACAACTAAAAGAGAAGCTGCTCTTTGCCATTGAAGAAACAGAGGGATTTGGTCAAGAGTAGAAGCGGCTTCTAGTCAGAAAGGAGATACTGCATAATAAAAGGCCCAGCCAACTAAAATTGCACACTTAATTGTATATAAGCTTTTTGTTCTGTACAGTGATCTTTCTGGAACTCAAAGTATAGTTGTTCTCCGTTCTTCCACAAAGATATGCAAAACAGTTCAGCCTTTTCTACTTTTATTTATTGCCCTTCCAAAAGACCAGAAAAACCCCTCATAAATTTTGAAAGCAGACAAGAGACTTATTTAAAATATATATAAAAAATATAAATATATATACTAAAAGGCTCTAGTTTTATAGAGCTTTAAGTGTATGAAAAGTTGCAGCCATTTAAAGGGCCTGGATTTGCTTTATCTTGGCTTTATTATTCAGAAAAATGTTTAAACTGCTCTGTGTTCTCTCTTAAGAAACATCTCCAAGTTTGTTTCATTGCATGGCTGTTCTAAAAGGTGTTAAAGGCTTAGGCCATACGTATCCTAAATATGTAGAAAGATGCTGCTGGTATTTGAGATGACAGGATATGTTGTTCTGTCAGTTTAATTTTTTTAAATACGTAAATATCTGATATATCCCTCTCTACTGATGTAGCCAAGGTCATGAATAAAGCCTTTACTACTTGCACAAGAGTCATGTAAAATAAGATGAATGTGATTTAATGTTGAAAGGAAATGGTGCCACTGTTCTGACATTGTAGGAGCTGAACAGAATATTTTAATTAATTTGAGCAGCATTGAAATTTGTTTACATATTACCTTGGGTTATTACCATGAGGATGTTAGGTAATCTTAAAAGAAAAAATAATAATAAAATAGAAAATATTACACATTCTCTCCTTGGTCTGGTGTCTTACAGGTTTCTTTTGTTGTTGTTGTTTGCTTCCCTATTCAATCTGTGATGTCCTTTTCACAACTCTGTAGAGTACATAAATGTAAACTCAGCTATAAGGGTATACAAAAGGTAATGTGAACTTTGCTGCTTTCTATATTCATGTTCAGTTTCAGTTACTGGATCTAGCAAACCCAAATAAAATGAAAGTTACGTAAGCTTTGCACAGGTAAAAATGTTCTTAAGTGTTAAATACTCTCATTTCTCTTAAGTTCTTACAGAAATTCAGATGTACCTGAATTAAGTAAGTACGTCTAAAACCTGTAATTCTTTTATGTAGGTCAAGTTTGTCCTAAGTGCACAATAATATAAAGCCATTTTAAAATTAGTTTTATTGGCATTGAGGGCATTTGCTGAACTGCAAAGATGTGTGTTGGTTTGGTTTTTGTTTTTGTTTTTTTTTAATTTAACACCTTATTCATGTGAATTATATTAAATGCTACTTTTAGCAAACCGTGCTTCCTTATTATAGAGTCAAAACATGTTTAAAATTACCATTTGTATTATGCTTTAAATATTAACTGTAAATTCCATTACATTTCACTTATACAGAATTTTGTACACACATGAAAATGATTTCTTAGGATATGATTAAAACTACTTCTGTAACATATCATATTGCACTGTTAAAAGTGTACATGCAGGAAAAAACAGTTATATCTGTTCATGTATCTTTCCCATACAGCAACTGAATTCTGCCAAAATTTTATTTTTCTACATATTGGATTCTCTGGAGGCTTTGTAGTCAATATGCACAGCTTACTGTGGAGCTGTTAACCTGTACATAGCTTTGGTAACACCGGTAGTGCAATGGGCCCAACAGACTGCTATCTTACGTGAACCATCTGTAAGAGTTTCAGAAATTTCCACCACTTCGAAGGTTTTTCATACTACACCAAATATCTTCTGCAAAACCATTTTTGTGACTATAGCATCAAATTAGCTTCAGGTGCAAATCCACTTAAATTATGACTTATACTGGTTAGAATGGAGGAAGCTTTAAAAAATAAAAAACAACAAACGTCAGAGGCTGGGCAACAGAAGCGTGTGGCTTGCCTAAAAGACAATTAAGAGGGCTGAATGTCAGAGTTGAACTTCATGAATTTGCACTAATGAATGACGTTGACCCACTACCAACTGCTGAATTTTGTGAATCTGTGAGTAAGTGAACAAAATAATAATAAAAAAGACAGCACATCCCAAGAATGTAGTTGCTTTATTGTTTCAATAATTTTAGCTATCTCATAATTGCAGTAGCTTTTCCTGTGGGGAAGGGGGTTAGTAAGCAAGGAAAAAGCCAAACCCACTGGCCTTCTGTACATGTATATGATCTATTAATTGGTTTTAAAGGACTGAAAGCATGGCTCTTAAAGAGGAAAAAACAATTTGTATACCTGTGTGTGTGTGCGCGTGTACAGCTAACTTAAGACTTCCTGGGCATTTCCCCAATACTGTAACTTTTTCTTTTTGGATTCCCCATAATTCAGCTGTACTTGGGGGGAGGGAAGATAGTGAAGAGGAAAGGCAGCAAAGGCTGGGAATCAGTGAGGTAATATTACTTGAAGGAGCTACTGTGTAGTTCATGGGTTCTGTCCCTTTCTTCCTGCAAGCACTCAACAATCTTTACTTGGTACCTGGACAGCCTTCCTCTTGGTGCAGGTTCTGTTCTCAGCAGCAGAAAAGGCACTGAAGTGAGGTGCCTCTGCCACAAAGCTGCTAGAAGCAGTTTTGTGCATGTCAAACATTTTTTGTAGTGTGTGAGTGCAGGAAATTTGAAGAATCTCTCTGAAACACTACATGTCATCCACCCTGGCACTGTGACATACTGAAGACTTCATTCTGATACTCTACTAATAGAAAAATAAGAATTACTTTACCACAGTGGAGAAAAACATCTCTGAACTACTTTTGTGATCTGAGGCTAGAATTAAAGCTCTAGATTGTCCCTCCCATGTGGGTTTTCACTACTGCCTTGGCACAGGCTTGGTTTGGTTTGTTAGTCTAAGCAATTTATTCCCTTCATCTTCCACCTATAGATTTCAATATCCATTTCTGTTAAAGGAAACACTAGGTATTTATAGTCAATTTGTTCTAGTGTTAAATTTTCCACTGGCAATACCATGCATATTTGATTGCCTAACATTTTTTCATTATTGGCCTTCTTTTTCTGTTGCATAATCAGAATATGTTATTTGGAAAAATCTGTAAATATTTTCTATGCTGGCTATCTAACATAGGTTATATATTTTTCTGGTTAAAGTTCCTGCTAAAATAGTAGTAAGAATGAGAAGAAAGTTTTACTTTAGTTCTACAAACAGAAGTCTAGGTGCTTCCAAGCTGTAGTTCCAAATACTGGGAGTATGCATTCCTCCTGTCATCAATGTCTAGGGGAGTAAGTGCATATGTCCAGCAAGCATTGTGCAGCCACTAAATCCTCAGAATTCACAGCCTCTCACTGTGCAAACAAGTATTCGTATTTCACAGAAAGCTGCTCACTGCATATGCTGGTATCACCCATAAAAGCATTTTCACAGGTGTTCCCTACTTCAGGGTTGTTTTTTTTAAACCACAGCACTTTTTGCGAAGTCAAACACTAGCATTGAAGTGTATTGGAATTAAGATTGCTTGTGCAGCCTTAATGAGAAATCTGTAGGAGCATCTAACACAGTAACATATATTACTCTTGAAGGCTGTTGAACCCCACAGGAGAATACTCTAGAGAAAACTGCATGTTTAAAATTGTCATGGCCCTGTACCTCCTTTCCTTAAAGTTCTGCTAGTCATGTTTCTTATTATTCCCTATATGTAACTTGTAGCTGAACAGTGTAAAAAACATATTTAAAGACCTGCACATAAAAATAGCCCTGTCCCTGCCTTTCCTCTCCAATATATACACCCTGCTTCTCCATGAAGCCCTTTATTCCCATGTAAATCAACAGACACAATCAAATAATGGAACAGATCATCTAGTTGACAGTTTAATTGAAATGAAAGGAAGATAGCAGAATTAGGCTATACTTGTATTAACGGCTCCAATAAATGAAGTAGGATTTGGGGTCTTTTTCCTATGCTGCTCAAACCCGAGGCACTGAATTCCCATTATCTTGTTTCCTGTTATATAGAATTAAGCAACTCCAAAGCTTCTTTCTGTACCTGAAAGAAAGAAATATATTTATAACAAAGCAGTGCCAGACAGTTATAAGCTCTTCTAGCAGAATTTACCCTGCAAGCACCCAAACGTTTCACCACATTTGTCTAAATTCAGAACCCTCCTAAGATTAGTTATTTTATGTTGTAGTTCAAGATGCTCAACACTTGAAACATGAATGGGTATAAAACCACTTAAGCCAGTGCCATCAGTGTAACTCTCTTACTAGATGTAGTAAGTTTTTTTGTGTTGACTACAGATGATTAACTCTTGGTTTGCTGTAGTCCAGTAGTAGCATGTAGTCAGTTGTCCAATATCTGACCATAAGCAACTAACCTTGGGTTTTCAAAGCTCCAGGCAGTGACTATGGCAGTGTGAGAAGACTGTTTTTGAGACTCCCTTTGCCTACAGATTCTGGATAAGGTCTAATAAAATTTGATTATGACCTAATATCTATATTAAACACAAAAGAAAAACCCAACAAACTTCTGGTCTTGACAGAGCAAGCAGTGCAGGCAACATAAGCCAGATATTGCTGATACTTAGAGGTAACATGTTCAGAAAACCTATTTATGCCTACACCTCTGTCAAATTCAGAGACAAGAATTCTAATTTCTTTGCACAGGCCAGTTTCCTTCTTACTGGACTACCAAGTCATTCCTAATGAACTTTGTGTTTTACGCACTCACCCAGAGAATGGAGATAATACCACCTCTCTGGGTTCCAGCAGCTCTGCACCCTCTCGGGGGTGGGGAAATAGATGTTTGTACCAGGAGGCCAATCACAGCTGGAGCAGATAAGCAGTTTAACAACCTGGCTACTGCACAGAAATCACTACTGACTCCTTTTGCATGGTTCCTAAAGGCAAGATTCTGTGATCACTCGTTTCACATGTGTGTCCAACTACTAATGGTCAGAACCAACTAATTTCATACATACCTGAGACCACTACTCCTTTGGGCTATTAAATTCCTATAGACTTTGCAAAGCAGTGGAGGAACGGAACCCATACTCCTGTTTCTACTGAAATATATACTGAAGGAGCTCACTTTTGGGAGAAGCAGTTCAGGCCTTACTAGAGAATCTATAGAAGGAAATCTCAGTAGTGTTTCTTCTGAAGCGTGAAGTGCAAAATCCTACCAAACTGTTTCTTACAATTAGGACATTCAGAATGTCACAACCCATTTGGATTTTCTGTAACAGTTAAAGCACCTTCACTGCACCTTAATGCTAAATGAATTAGAAGCCAATCAACCAGAAGAAAAATCAACTGGAAATCAAGCTTTGTTAGTCCTGATGCTAATAGGATTGTTTATGAAAGATAACTGCAATTGAATGCAGTTTTAGGTCTGAACAAGTCTAATGAATTACCCCTCCTGGAAGTGCTCTGTATGTGTATAGGTAGGAAGCAAATGCCTACCCATCCAAACCAGGATCCTTCTGAGCAGTTCAGAATGGTAATTAAATGCCACATGTCACCTAGGATTGGAGATCTGCTGTCAAAGCAGCAGATCCATTTGCTGCTTCCATTTGTCTCAATTCAGATTGTCTGAATCTCTCCCTAGGGGCCTGGAAAAGTACTGCAATGTTAAGTTTTATGGATATAGCAAGTTTTTGATACATCCATGCTTTTTAATTCCTCCATGAACATGTGGTTTTTAGCTCTTCCAAAATATGATTTCTACCTTTCCAGTTTTAGGCATATGAAAAGTTAATCTCTGCTTACATAGAGGCAGATTCGCTCAGATGCCTGCCTTAACTTCAACAACACAGTTAAGAGTGGATTGCTGTTAGCACTACAAAAACATCATGAAGAAAGAAAAACAGTTCTTTATTATAAACAGAGTATTTCCAACCATTGTGTTCAGAGGCAGTTACCAACATACTAGAATTTTCTGGTGTCTGCATGTGATCCCTGATTATAGGTGCTGAACTACATCTTACTCTGAATTTACCTTATAAAACATTCTACTGCCATGACAATAACTTGGTCACATGTTGGTCACAATATAGGATTGTACTATTACACTTCTTAACTTCCTACCTGTTTGTCCTCTTCTGTATGTGCAGGATACTCCTTTGCTTTGCTTAACCACAGAAGAGCCATCTTTTTATTGTTTAACTTCAAGTACGTCTTCCCCAAAAAGAGCAAATTTTTGCTGTAGAAATTTGGGTCAGCTGTATAGAGACAGGAAAAAAGCTTTAAATGAGAACAAGCAGCATAGTATCAAAACCATGATAGAGTTTCACTCCTTTAAATACTTATTTTGGAAAAGATTAATGTATTTCGGTTTTTGATCAGAATGAAGCCAATGTAAAACATTTACCTGCTAGATTTTGGTCTCATATACAGTTATATTAGCTAGCAGCTTGTTAGTTAATATACTCAATGAAACTAGATTTCTCAGAAGGAACAAAGCAGTGAGCTTAATACATAACTGCTTTGCACATTCTGTGTTCTTCTGGAGAGAAGGTGCAGAAGGTGCAACAGGCAATGCAATCAGCTTAGCAAGTATAGCAAGGAAACAAAGGACACATTTCCTAGTTTCAGGCCACGCACATACAGGTATTAGTTTAGCTTTTGCTGCACAGGAAGAAAACATGAAAACATTTGTACCCACATTTAACTTTTTTTAAGGAGAGATTTATTTTATAACGCATGCTTTGGCTCTCATTTTTAAAGACTTGTCTTGCCTACTGTTCATACTTATAGTACAGGCTTTCTCTTGCTGCTGGATCTAAGGTCAGGATTCAAAACATATGGAGGGTTTCAGAGGCAAATTCTGGGATTAAGTCCACCGCTCCAGTTCACAACTGCATTACTTGACACCCAGGGGAAGATCTACAATGAAATTTTACCTTCACTGATGTAACTGTACAAATTTTTCATAAAACACTATCTTCCCTTGTCTTCCTTTATCTTTCAGCTAGTCAAGTTTTCCTTATGGCTTCACTCTTGAGAAATAACAGGTCCATATTTTCTTTTACATGTGGACAGTTTTACTGCCAGTTTGGCACTATCCAAATAGCTTCTAAAATAATAAAAAAGTATGCTTTCTCTGTTGTTCTACTTAGAATACAGAGGACTTCTGAACTTTAAGAAAATTTAGCAAAACTAAAGAAAAATCCTTTTTGCTTGCTCTTCCCTCTGCATTCCAGCTGAATGCCTTGGGGAAGAGTACTTTGTTACTAATGAAGGTACAAATTGCAGTTTAATACTGAAAAAAACCCCTCATGGTACATTTGTAAGCTATGATAGGAAGCGTGTCACATACTTTGAGTATTGCTGATGAAATATTCCAGTGTAACAGTCTAGTTACTGACTAGCACAACAGGCTGATATGTTTATCAGCAGATCATACGCTATTAAGATAATACCGAAAGCGAGAGGTTTATTTCAAGTCAGCATTCATAAAAGATACTACTCTATCCAAAAAAGCCAGATGGATTACCTTCCTCTGCCATGTGGAAGTAATGAAGAGCCTGCAAAAGACAAGGTTGTCTTCTTTAAAATGGAGAATAAACTGAGCAGCAGTCAAACTAAAGCCTTACATGCATGTTTCACATAGCAGAAGGACTTCCTGGCCATGATCTTCCTTTTATTAATTCAGCATGCTACTGATGGTTCTCATTCAATGTACAATCAGATTCAACATCTCAACAGAACTAGTACTCATCCAGCTACTCCCCTGCCACTTCCACTCTAAGTACAGTACCTCCTATTTGTCCCTAGCAAACTGGATTGTGTTTTTCCAGTCTTGTCAAGATCATTTTGAATTTTATTTCTACCATCCAGCATATCAGCAGTTTCCCCCAGCCAGTTTGCATGTGTAAATTTAATAGATGAATCAAATCTTAAGATTCAGGTCATTAATGTTGACAAATAATTCAGGGAGAACCAATTCCAACAGACTACCAGTTAGTACCCTCTTACATGAGAATTAACTTTTATGAAATCCACACACATTTTCTAACTAGTTCCTGATCCTGCACATCAGAAATTTCAGTCTATTCCTACCACTTCCTGGTATTACCAGCTGGAAGGAAAATACCGTCAGAGAACTTAAAGTGTGGACATATCTACAAAGCACATTTTGTACTGAAACTGCAGAAGTCTTACCAGTATGGCTCAACTACAGGTTCTGCAACAACTTTGCTTCTTCAGCCACCTTAAGTGCTACAGAACTTGATGCTGGGACTAGCATGATTCTGCAGTATTTGAAATCCTGTCTGACACTTTGTATTCTTGTGAGAGTGTTTTTCAGCAAAACTTAGAAGCTTGACATTCCATTAAAAAGTTTTATTTCTTTTTAATCAGAAATGAAATTGCAGCCTTCTACAATTATTTTCTAGTGCTTCCTGCCCCCCCAGCCCCTGCCAGCCCTGAAAAGAAGGAAAGATAGTGGGCCAGTTATTGGTTGATCTAAACAAAGACTCTACCACCTGAAGCAAACCCTCTTATTACCAGCTGATGAAGTTTCTATATATGTACAAGTATTTAAATAAGATGCATCCTGTGTTAGACATGCTAGAAGAACTACATCTGGGCAGTATGGTTTAGGGTGTATGACAGCAGGAATTTTCATAGCAAAGATGAACAAAAATACTTCGAGTTGCATAATACCACACCATATGTAGCCAGGGGATGAGAAGGTATTTGTTCATGTTAAATAACAAAGCACGCGGTTGCTTTTTGCATTTATCATAAAGGGAAAATTTCTAATAGTTCTATCAAGAAAGAACATGGTCTAACACAGATTGTCAGCACTGGAACTACTACAGACAGTTATCTGCAATAGAATCTAATAGTAAATACAAACTAAGTTACATACAGCTTTTTGTTTTCTGCTGCATAAACAACACGAAAAAATTTTCACTATTCTGTGTGTGCTACAGCTGAAAAAAACTAAAGATTTTTATGTTTTTAAGTGTCCCTCACTCTCCTGTTACACTCTCATTTTATTACAGTTGGAAACTTGCAAGTCTGTGCTTATTCCATAAGCAGAGGTTAGCTTTTTCAGGAAAATTAGTACAATTAACAGCCTTGCGGGGGCAATAATAACCTGCAAAACATTTTCACACTGTACCTCTTGAAATGTGGAGGTTGGTGGTGTGGCAAATAGCGTTGCAGCTATTTTTCTTTGGTACCATGGCATTTCAGCAAAGGAGTAACACCTGGAGCAAAAGGAAACGTTTATATGTACCTTTCACATTTTTCTCTTGCTTTCATGTAACATTCTTGTATCTTGGACTTGATAATTGTTTCTGCCACAACAACTCCAGCCACACTGTAAGTTCTATAATGAAGTTCTTACAACTGCACAACAAAATAGCAAGATGCCTGAAGTTGCCGCATAGCTCTGCTAAAGTTTAAGTTCTGGTGTGTCTTTTACTGGGAACTATTACATTAGACAAAACTGGAGACAGTTATTTACCATGGAACAGCTTTTGAGCTTGAATGATTTTTACAATTTATGGGTATTTGATATTGTTCTAATATATTTGCATAAAGTGCACAACTGAGTAATGTCATTGTCTTACCTCAACACTACCTTGTTTTTCTCAATTATTAATATAAAGCAGATCTGCAGTACATTCCTGAAAGGCTGATCTACAAGAATAAAAATAAACCCAAGAATCAAACTACTGTGTTCTAAGCTAGGCCATTCTATGCTGTTTTTCCTATCTACTAAATAACAAATAATTAGTCACCTACCTTAGAGATGCTGGAAGGATTAAAGATTTGTTAAGTATTTCAAATACGTAGAACATTCCAGGTGTAAATGTAAAATAATGCTGTGCACTTTATTACCCTCCCACAATGAGTATAAAAATATTCACTGTGTATAATAGAGTACTCTAGAGGAGGTGAAAAATTAATAAATGCAAATATGAAAGTGAACAGAGGAGAGTGAGGCAAAGCATGGAATACACAGTCTGAGTTCAAATTTTGCCATTAGATGTGCCTTATCAGAAGTGCCAAAAGAGGTTCAATCTTGGATAGACTAGAAAGAGAAAGGAGAAAAATACTCAAGAATTGGCTAATAGCCAATCCCAGTTTCAGATGAAGATGCTCTTGGTTTCAGTAATGAGTATATTTAAATATACAATATGGGGATACTTGTATGCCAAAAGAAGTAATAATCTCACATTTCTGATCATTCTTTCTAACTTTCCTTAGAAACGTCTTACTTTCCAGAAAAAGCTTCCTATCTTAAAACTGACCTTGAGGCTCATTCAGTTGGTAGCATATGCTTCTGTTTAGAAATCTGGACTATTGCAATTGTTAGGTCATGTGGGAACGAGTGGTGGATGCTGAAAAAACAAAGTAAGTTTGTAAACTAATAAAAAACTCTGGAGCAGTAGACTCTAGTTTACTCTGATACTCAAGGGTCCAGAAAAAAAAAAACATAAAGAAGGTGGCTGTGGTTTTCGGTATTTTTTTTTAAAGCTACAAATACATTGGCTTTATTTATTTTCAATCGATCTCACAGCAGAGATTTCCTGTAAAACGATGTAGCAGCTTTGATTTCTTTCAGACAAATAACCAGAAATGCTGTCTGGAATCTCTCACTAACACATAAAATAACACTTTCAACCACACTGCTTCCACAGAATGCCCTGGTTAGTATGGGAAGTTGTCTTTCCAGTCCCTTCCCCTGCTATGTAATAGCTATTCTTTGTACCTATTTCGCTGAGCAGCAAATTCAATTTCAGAGATTTTTGTGAATGTATATGCACTTATAAGCTGCCTTTACTTAAATGTAGCTTTTAAAATACAGTGTCATGATAGATAATAACAGAAGTATTTTCAGAACACATCTCACTTTTGATAGCTTTTCACTATACACAGATTGTATTAAGTTGCAGCGATCGCTGAAATTCAGCCTAGATTCAGGGTGAGTTTTGTCTCCATTCACACCAGTAGAACAAAATGAGTACTACTCACAATCTCTGATGTCTGCTATGGAAACACACATCTGCAAAATGAGTTCTTAATAGTTCCATACAGTAAAACAAATAAATTGAACAAACAATTACTTTTCATCTTTTTGAACCGCATCACAAATAACAGCCAGACTTTTTCAAGGCATATACCCTATATCCTATACCCTTTCAATTGGTTTTCATGTTTGCATCAACTAATTACAAGCCACTGAATTATTCCAAGCATTTCTGCAATTTGTGTAAGACATAATATATTCTGGCATTTTTCTTTGCCACATGCTAACTTTTGTTTGAAAATACACCTTACCAAATGCCTATAAGATGAATTGTTGTAGCATCTTTTGGATTCAGTTCAATGGCTCTCTAGTGAGGGGGAAAAAACAACACAAGATGTAAACAGTTTTGCCACATTTGGATTAAAATACATTTTAAAAAGTAGACTTGTTATCCTACTGTTAATTAAACCAGATTAACAGTGTGTAGAATTTCAAGGCAATACAGTATTTATTCAGTGCACAACTAAATTGGCTCAAAAACCTGAAGATATTGACATATTTCTAAGCACTTCTGTTTAGTAGGTCATTAAGAATTTCACATGAGACTTGGTGTGTTCAGATTTTGATATAATTTCTGGTGATTTAAATTTAGTAGTCTAAAATCTTTTCCAGTATTTGTCCTTTACTGCTACACAACCCAGTTAAAAGGATGGCCACACATCCATTTCTAAACAGCACATTCTCAACAGTTACACTTTGTCTAGTCCTAAGAGGTGTCAAAAGCGCTTCAGCTACTTCAAGACTCCCTTCTGTAGCGACGTAGTTTACTGCAGGAGATAATTTGTACTCCTTGCTGCTGGGCATTCAGGACTATCACAATAACCCAAAGTGTCACCAGGAGATTTGAACAGAAGTACATTTGCAAATTTTTGCCAAAAAACAGTTCACAACTGTCATAGCACCTACATACTGGATGCATTAATGCTGTCATATGCAAAAAACTGTTTACCTGGAAGTGCTCTTTGATAACAATGGCATTTCCAATTTTAGTCTTAATTCCTTCAAAATCTCCAACATCACTGAGGCAAATTGCATACCACTGTAATTCAAAGAACAAAAATAAAACATTTAATAGAGCATATAGCTATTAATAGGAAATTTAAAAAAACATAAAATAACAGAACAGCTGCCACCACCCCTAACGGCAACAAGCAAAAAGTATTTGCTATGAACAGCTCAGGCAGCATCAGAGCAACCTGCTGGTCTGCATGCATAAGGGAATCCATGTCCCCTTCTTATCCAAGATGCCAACACAATTGACTATACTGTTACCTCTCTGTCTGTGAGAGAAGCACCATAAAAAAAGAGAGCAGGAAGCCAGAGCCTGAAGTATTTCCAGTGAAACTCTATGGAGCTACTATTGTGCACAAACCACACGCTGCATGTGGGGCATGTACAACATTTTTAAGGCTACATCAGAAGAGGATGAACTGCTAACACCAGCTGTAATCAGCCTGATCAGTCACCTCGTTCTGTGGACCTGCACACATTTAACCAGTTCCTGTTCCCTTTTAGCTGCAAAAGTCTAAACTCTGATCTTCCAGAAAAGTTAGGGAGAAGTAGAAATCTCACTCATTCTCAAATGAAATGTTAAATTATGCTGAAGCTTGCTGAAACTGCACAATGACATTCATTCTGGTTTCTACCGACAGAAAGCAAAGAACAAGGTTTCAGTTATTTTGCTTGGCTCACCTTGTGCGCTGCAAAATTTGATTCATTTTTTTCAAGTGCCTTTTTTGCATACTCAAGGGCTTCATACGCCAGTTGTCTTTTCTCCTCTGCAGAAGTACTACTAAGCTGAGCTAGATCTCGCGACGCCCGCGCCAGCCGCCATAACAACTCTGCGTCATCACTAGTTATGAACAGAAACACTAACATTTTAAAGCAATAATGGAAACAAAGCAAGCAAAGGTCTTAAACCAGTCTTTTGATATGGATCTCAAGTAGGTGATAAGACAACAGTGCATCATCTATCATTCTATGCTATGTACAACCCCAAGGTAACAAACAACAAATGAAAGCTCTCCATTACCAACTGCCTAGTGATAACCTTCGTTAGGCCATTCTGGTCTGTGAAACAATCTGTAGGAAATGGCTTTGTTTTCTCAAAAAAGATGCATATTTAAAACAACCCAACAGTACCACTGAAACACCAGAAGGAAAACAAAGCCTACTTTGTTCTTAGCTGCATGCTATTTTTTCCAGCATTCCACTGATTTAATATTAATGTTTACTGGGAATATTTAAAATATTACGCATTATTTTCCCTACAGTTGTACCTAATTAAATTCTTCCTAGAACAGTGAAAAAACCCCATAGATTAGCTATACCACCACCCCATGAAGATGTACATATTTATTTATATCACTGTATCAAATGGTGTATGGTATGTTATAACCAAAGATAAGGGATTTTAAGTTTTATTACTTTGTTAATCTATTGTTTTAAAACACTGCTTGCACTTTACTATACTTCTAGCTAACTATCTTTTTAATTTTGGCTCACTATTTTAATAGAGACTATAATATTAAATTTAAGTTCAGAAAGTCTTTCGTAAGTTCTGGCTATAAAACATCCATGTCCTTCTCTGCACACCCCCCCCCCCAGGAATACTGAAGTCAAAAATATTAAAAAGCATACACAAGTTACTGCTAAACTCAAGAGTATTAATAAAAGCCAGTTTTCTTAGCTGGAGTAAAACTAAGTCACTGCTCACAGCACATAAGTACTGATCTAATTGACACAGTAACACAGACTAGCAGACTCGTTTTTCAGGTAAATCACAAAAATGTTAAGTACTACTACTGGAATCCTTACTCCTCACAGAAAAATTAGTATCGTTACACACTTGGTAGCAAGCTTACGCGTTGCTTATTACATGGTGTCCCTTACAGGCTAGGACCTTCATTTAACTTCCCAGGCTTTGTACTAGTGCCCCTAGCAAGAACAGAAACCAAAAAAACAACTAAAGAAAAAAACAAACAAATAAAAGAATTGGAAACAACTGAATAGTTGATTTCCTCCTGAAGTGTCCTAGGAGTGAGATGCCTTGCCTCCTCCAAAGGAATGGACTCTTCAGTTTGCAATGCATTTTCTGCTTTTTCCTTAAACAGCTTGTCCCAGTTCGCTTATCAATAATGCTTTGTGCAGTTAAGACAGAACTACATGTGTAAGGAGCTTTTTTTTGTTCAGACTCAAATCCTAACATGAAACAAATGAAAACAGAAAGAACAGCTGTTCAGCAATGAAAAAGAAATGAAACAGTGACTCAAAAATTGTCAGTACCTGAATTCCAGGGTACTTTGATTATTTAGTAACACGTAGACACATTATGAATTTTTGCATTATATTTTAAAGGATTATTAGAGTAACAAAACCGACAAGCAAAAACCCCTTCTTTGCAGGACTGGAAAACCTGACTGTTAACTGTCACCTTAAACAGCTACCAGTCCTTTCTTCATTCATTCATTCTTTCATCAGGAGGAAAAAGATCAAGAGTCTTTCTTACCTGCTTACATAAGGGTGAAAGCAAGGTCCTCCAGCATATCACAATGAGAACATTAGTTGAAAAACTGATACAGAATACCACAGAAAAGAAGACATGGTAATGTCTCGATGCAATTAATTACCTATTTTTATGCTGAAGCAGCTGCTGATACAGCTTTTCAGTTTCTCCACTCCCATACAGGTAGTCTGCTTGCTCTATAACTTCTTCCACTTAAGAAGGAATTAAAATTGTGGAAACAGAAGAATAAATTACATGTAATTAGGACATTATAGTATAAACAAAACATTTAGAGCAAGACAACCTAGCTGAAACAAAGAATAAGCCTAGTTCCTTTTTAGGGCATCATTCCAAACAGTTTACACCCACAGTAGGATTGAGTAAGTTACATTTACAATGAACAAATAGGAAGAGAAAGGATGCTTAATACAGCCTTCTCATGAAACTACACAACCGCTTTCAGCAACAGAGCTCTGGATGCTTAATGGATTTAACATGCAAAAATCTTTCTCAATGCATCAGACTAGAAGCAATTTGTTTTCCTTGTGAAAACTGTAGTAAAAGTATGAGGGGCAAGTGCAGTAGAGATCCGAGTAATAAACCCCCTTCATTAGTATATGTACAAAATTTAAATCTAATAATAAAAATTTTTAAAAAAGTGCTTAAAATAGTCTTTATTCTCAGCATGGTTCCATAGTTTTGCCAGAATATGACTGCAGATTGAGTGGGTCCCATTATCTTACTGAACAGGCCAAAATGAAACATTGCTTAAAGGTTTTTTTCACTGAAGTCCTTGAGATCTTCACGAACATGACTCCAAAAACTACAGTTAATCTACTGAAACCTCTTACGTGTTCAAGATACTAAAAGCAAAAATGATTTTGAAAATCAGAACTGGCTTTCTAGAGTATCAATTTATGAACTAAGTACCCGTTGTTCTTATGAACATCAATTATTTTTCTAGAAAATACTTTAAAACACAAAGAGATGGGGGAGTACAATTTCCACAACTGGCTGAATATAATAATATATAAATAAATACAATATGTCTATAGTACATAAAACAGCATTCCAGAAATGGAAATATCAAACACCACACAATACAGGATTCTAGCATGAAAACAGATGAAATTAGGAGGAAAAATACCCAAAGGGAACCAGGTAGATAACTCTACTGAGTTATATATGTACAGGGGAAGGACAAACTCTGTTTACCCTTCTGCCAATATTAAATTATGAAAAAATAACCTTTTAAGTCAAAAGCCTAGTCTAAAGACTTACAGAACTTGCAGCTATGCTTACTGTCTCTTTGGTATTATTCCTGGGTTTGTGATCAAATTTCTAAGTCAAAATATAAGCTTATAAACATGATTAAATTTTATGAAGGGGGGTAGAGCGTTTTTTCGCCCAAGTTATTTACTGAATATGGTAATCATGTTTCACAGGAACACAGTTTTATTTATAGAGTAAAAAAAAGCCCTGAAGGCTACTAAACATAAGAGGCTCATGTTCAGCTTAAAGAGATCCTAGAATATAAACCACTGAAGATCAGGAAAGCATTCTAGATAATTTTTAACCCTGCCATCTCTAAATGCCTTCTGTCAACATTTGAAAGGTAACAGTCCACATGGACTTTGGATGTTAGTGTCCCAATATTAGCTTCATGGTACATCTTCAGTATTATCTGCAGTGAACTGTTACGTTTATTTGTTGAGACTCCCTGAACACTATTAACATATCTAATGACTAAATGCTCAGAACTCAAACTTCTGAAGACGTTTCCCAGCAGGTGTTTCACATAAACTACTAGCCTTTTATTTAATAGTATTTTTCAGGTATTTATTTTATTTTCACCATATCTACTACTTATCTTGCATAGAAAGCCCACTAACATTGCTTTTCTTGGTACTGTAAATGCCAGATTCAAGTCAGAGCACTAAAAAAGACCAGAGGCAACTAAGCAGTGTTATGCAAGTTCCTCGTGGGAAATTTTCTTATTTTTATTATTATAATTTATATTTATTTTCTTATTAAATGCTATCTTAAATTTATTTACTGAAGCTCCTTCTATTATAGCAAATGAAACCGTTCCTTATCTGTTCAAAAGTCTATGTCTGAATTTTTATTTCTATAAACATAAACATCTAAAATGTTCCTCTCTGAGACACAGAGAAACAGGTTATCTGAACTGACTGCTATCTTATCTACACAGTAAGAATACATTTCAGTTAGGCTCATTCTTCACTCTGTTAGGCTTACTTTCAAAAACCCTTAATTTACCACATGATAGACAAGTTCTTAGTCTGTAACAATATCCCTTTAAAAAATGATGTTATTTTTCTTCCAGCAGTGAAACTATCTTTATTCAGAACTTGAAAAGAACATTTTATCACTTGTGCTATTCTTCCCCCGTAGGTAAAAGCAAGGCTTTTCTTCCCCTTTGTCAGTGTGACAAAAATACAGGCGTTTCTCAATTTTGTTTGAAATGCAATCTCAATGTTGCTCAACTAGATTAAACAGGAATCACACAGTGCTCATATCAAAAAATCTGAACTAACTAACATTTCCAGAAATTGATTAAGGTTTGGTCTGCATTCTTAACTGAACCATATCTTTCTCAATAAGTTATGTAAAGCTTCTGCAACAAGTCAGGTACCATACATTTTGTGCATGTGTTATACCCTAGACAGGATGACCTACTAGGTCTGCTTTCAGTAACATCTGAAAGAATCACTTGCTGAACTCCTACAAGGCTACCCTGAACCAGTTCAAAAGCATTCTGTCATGGTAACGCACTGCATGCAGAATTAATGGAGAAAATAAAAAGCATTACACATTTTCCCTATATAACTTCGGCACTAAAAACGTTGTTTCACATTAGAATAACATATGTACTTCAGAATTTTAAATTATTACCTTTGAAGCTTGCATGAACCTCAGCAAAGCCAGAAATCAGCTTGTGAGCTTCATAAACCAAAAAGGTCCCTGTTGAAAGCACAACCCCCCTCTGAAGGCTTTTTCTAAGCACCTGCATGGGATCATAAGATGTGTATTAATAAACACTGTCACTCCGAGTTAAAAGTTCTTCTAATCTCTAGCATGCTATGTTTCATATTTTGAACAGAGAAAGACTTTCGAAAGTTGAAAGAACCGTCATAAATCACCAAGAGGTAGTTTAAGTTTTTTCAACAGAGGGTGATGATGTCTCCTTAAAATATGAGCAGAGCACTAGACTGAAAAGAAACCATACATTTGGAGCAAACACAAGGTAAGAAGAAAAAAAAAAA